TAACGGCCTTCACTTAAACACGATAAGTTGTGACGAAAGTCGCTCTAAGGCCTTCTTTCGAGCACGGTTGTGCTAAAACCTGCACTAACGGCCTAGTTCTAAACACGAGAGAATTTCCCAATGGATGATTTTTCTTATTAATTCTTGAATATAAAATTGAATGACAATGACTAGTATTTATAGATGCTAACTAAGACTAATCCTATGAGAACTAGAACTCTAAACTATAGAAATAATATAAAATCCTAAGGCAACTATATATCTAGAATCTAGGAATTACCAAATAACTAACTAGGCACATGCCTTTATTCCAAATCCTAACCAACTAGAATAATAATAAGCTAAGTAAATCGGCCCTCAATCTTCTAGAGAGATCTCGGCCTTGCTTGAGTCGCACACCTTCCAGAAGCCTTGCTCTCTTATTCATTATTCCTTGTCCAACGAGGCTTCTCGGATTTCCGCGCATATCCTCGCATCTCTCACCTCGCATGTGGCATGTCGTATGTCGTACCTTGCACGTGCTTGACCCAACGAGCTTCGACCTGTCCATGCTCGACCCATTGGGCTTCTATCTGTTCATGATCGACCCATTGAGCATCGACCAATGGTTCGACCCAGCGAGCGTTGGCCATAGATTCGACCTGCTTGTGCTCACCACATGATTCTCTCACCGAAGTCGACCCTCGCATGGTCGACCCTCATGTAGTTGACCCTTATGTGGTCGGCCCTCGTGTGGTTGACCCTCGTGCCTTGGTCGCCCTTGTGTAGCGCTCGACCTCCTTGAGCTAGGCGATGCATGTTCGTCATCGACCCATGAGGCTTTGGGTTGACTGTCTCGCATGCGCTCTTTGTCCCGGTCCTGCTTCGATCGACCCTCTCTAGTGCGTCTTGTTCCAGCATGTCTCGACGCAATGTTTATGCGTATCGCATGTCTATGTATCGCGTGAAACCTTCGCACGCACCCATTTGCTCATCGCTGGTCATCATGTCCACTCTCGCGCCCTCTATCTTAGCTTGAGGCTATGGTTTCCTCGGATCCAGAAGGGTCGATGACCACATCTTTATCAAAATGTCTCAACGGCTAGCGATTGGGTACGCTATTCTGGTGTGGTTGGGCTAACCATGCTGGTGCTGGTCAACTCGGCTGCAGGTGGCGCAGGGCGCCTATTCGCCGCCTGCCGACGTGCCCCAACGATATCCAAAATGCTTCGACTCGGCCATGCTGCGCGCCTGGTCACTGGGGAGACCTTGGTCTCTAGCACGGGGTCCTCGCTGCTGGCATGGGATGCGTGAACGCCTGCATTGAGATGTGGTACAGGTCTAAGGGCTCTCGAGATGACGTAGGTCAGCTGGAGCACTATGAGGACATCCAGTGTCCGCGGTAAGGCCAGTTGTGACTCAGTACTTGCAATGTGGCAGACTGCCACGCGACACCTGCGAGTGGCATTCCAGCAACCCGCTCGTCAGAGGACGCGACACGCCTGCGTGCGAGGCCTGAACACGGAATGCTGCAATCACGCACGGGGTCAGACCCGCTGTACCTGCCTGTATCTACGTGGTGCTGCGCGACCCGAGGGGGTGGGGTCAATCCCGAGGCTACAACCTGAGGTGGTTTGGGTTCGGCCAAAACATGCATTTTCAAGGATTTCAATAATTTCAATGGTTCCAA